CAATTTGTTCTACATACTCTTAAGATTCAAATCTCGTACGTTGATAGAAAATATTAAACTAGTAGAGCTACACAGAACAAACTTTCTCGCATTATTTCCCACTAAAAATAGAAATTCAGCTGTTTAGATCAATTTCCGGATTGTTTGTGTATACATCCTCATATTAGTTAATGCATCGTTATGCACCGGAATTTTTCCAGATAATTTTAAAACAGTTAAGATTAAGCCGCTCTTCGAAAAAGGCAACAAAAATTGAATTCAAAATTATCGACGAATTCTCTTTTGTCATTTTATCCAAAAATATTATACTTTTTTTACATACGAATAGAAACCCTTCTTAATAAACATGACGCGTTTTCAGATTGCCAACATGGATTTCGAAAATCAAATTACGGAAACAGCATGTTCTTTTCTTAAAGATGTCGCCTCATCCATGAATCACCTAGCACATATTGGAAGTTGACTGTTACATAATATTAAAATATTGTAATTTCTGTCATACTAAAAACTTTTAACTTGAAGTTGTTGAACTTGAAAAAGTGTAATTCAAACTAAGAGCCTCACGTGCATATCTGCATTTATTTCTATTGCCCGGAACAGAATTCATTTCTTACTTTTGAAATTAAATTAACAAATTAAACTGTTATAGTACATACAGAACATAATACGGAAAAGAAAGAATAATTTCACACAAGCCTACCTTTAATACATTTGAAGAGAGCTTTTAACTTTTTAATGCCATAAGCAGCTATTAAAACTTCTTAAAGAATGGAAGGGTGTTTGTTAGTTCTAGTAAGTTAAATTTATTACTTTCCCAAATCTATTTCCTAACATAAGAATATTATCTCCATCATACAATCATGACCGACAGCAAAAGGATGAATTCGAAGAATTTTGAAACCTCTGTGTTTCTGTTTTTGCGAACTGGCAAAGCTTGAAACGAAGAGCGCAAAATTCTAATTTTCAATTCCGATATTTTTGTCGCAATTTTCGAAAATGCAGAGTGCACCGAAAAGAAAGTCCATCACCACGATCTTTAGAGTTCTTTGCTATGTACACAGTAACAAAAATTAGACAAAATTTGCAGCCATATCTGAGAAAATTGTTTAAAATGGTTTTAAAAGTCCCTGTGTTTCATGCAAAATTAAGCAATATTTATTCATAATTTTGCACAATTGAACATGACCTTATTTAAAGATCCGTTTCTAATGAAAATATTTTATAAAGGAAAAAACCCTCCATCTTCAATATTTTAGTTGCAGGAATATGTTGACAAAAAAGTCTTTTGCAATTTTCGAAAAATCGGTTGTTTTTTTTAAAAGGGATGCGCACCATTTTCTTAAACGTCCTTCACACTATCCAACAACAAAATTTAATCAACACTGTTGGAGCAAAGTTTTAAAAAAATTTGAAAGTGTCCCAGGTTGTAAAGTAACCCCCCCTCCCCCAAAAGAAATAAAGTACCGGTTTCAAATTCAAGGTGACACATCAGCCAGATCGACTGAGGAATATGAATTTTGGAGAAAATACGCTGAATGGTTTAGCCACTTACATTGTGCATGGACATGTGCTGTCATTCGATGTTTTGGTATCAATGTATCAATGATCGAAAAAACGTGGCAAGACAAGTTTGACAAGACTACATACTACAGGATTTTTTCTTTTTAAATTTAACAACTGGATTTATCCACATTTTCGTTATCAGGTGCCGGCAATAAGCATTTTTGTGCCAAAAATTCGCAGTTTTATCCCGCAGCATTACATAACTTTCTTTCTACTGTGAAAGCAGTAGCGATAAAGTAACAATTAATTAAAATCTGCAGTTTGATTACCGATGCAACGAAGCTGCCTGTAACTCAATAGCTAAAATGTCCAGTTTTAATAAGTTGCTAACTTCACTTTTTTAAAACTTTTATTCATTCACCTATATATTTGAAATGCAGGGAAGAGATTCTAGAACTTAAGAATGTTCCATTTCCTTTTTTTATTCTTTTTTTTTTTTTTTTTTTTTTTCCTTTGAGAAACTGGCATGAATGTACCGGCAAAACGAGTGCTTGCTTTACATCTCTTAAGTGATGAATTAGATTCCCTAAGTGGGAGCAAAAAGAAGAGAAAGAAAGCAAGAACAGGGTTCTATACCGCCTTCAGTTAAACCTCCTGAAACTGTGTTGCCTGGGACCTATCTTTTTAAATTTAAATTCTTCTGAAGAATTTGGGAACTATTACCCAGAAATGGATCTGAAGGTCAAAATGAAGATAGTATTGATGAAGACAAGGTTCCTTAATCAGATAACTTAAATAAAAAAGCATAGTAACTCTCTAGTCAGTTTAAACTGTAGTTGTGAAGAAGTAATAAGTTCAGTTCCTCATAGCAAGAGCTATCTTAACCTTCTGAATAATGAGGATGTACCAGGACTGCAAAGAGCTGTACTTCCATCCCATTCCCTGTGAGGTATATGCTCTGTTTCATCTTCATCAGTTGCTATAATAGTGCAGAGACAAATTTCCCCAAGGACATCTAATACATTTATTCAGACATTGCCTCTGAAACTCCCTGTTTGAATGCATTTTAGTGACAGTACAGACCATTCAAATTTGTCTAAAAAAATTCAGAATTATCTTATGATGCAATTTCTTCTGTGCTAAAAGAAAAAGATGGAACTAAGAAGGAAAACAAAATAATCAATAATAATAGTGATGTGTGGGTTTTCGGTATCAGGTGACCCCAAAATGTGTGTTTCCGTTGAAATCTCGGAAACTATTTTCCACAATATTACATAACTTTCCCTTTACTGCGTATATTCCTCGGTATATATGTATGTATTCGGGAAAGAAAAAATTTCCCGTGATTACCAGGAATCTAGAGATACTAGCAGATACAGTTCACACTCTTAACATGCATAACGCATATGTCTGCTCACCTCTATGTCCACGCCAGAACAGTGCTTTCTCTTAATAATAATAATATTTATTGAGTCACATATACAATTACAATTGTGTATGACAAGTTAATATGACTTCTTGGGTGGAGAGAGTAAAGTTACATTACTGTTCTGGAGCAAACAAGGGGCTATCTCAGCATTTGCTCAAGGTACCAGGGAAACTGAACAAGACCTGATCAAGATGGGGTCATTGGCCTAGAAATTATTCTACACAATTGTTACAGGTAGATTAGGATATTATACAGTAGATAATTATTTTTAGTAGCAGATAATTAACATTTCAAGATGTTCTTTCAATTGCTAACTAGTTTGTAATAATAATAATAATAATAATAATAATAATAATAATAATAATAATAATAATAATAATAATAATAATAATAATTTATTTCCAAAAGAATTACATTGACGTGTACAAAAACCATCACCATAAAAAATAATAATAATAATATAGAACAATACATATCAATTGTTAGCAACTACATAAATAAAACAATATTAGTACATTCTATATTTAAAACTTGAAATGGTGAGGAGACAAGTTTTGACCAGTTTTTTTTTCTTTTTCTTCTTTCAATTTGTACATGTAGTCCAGAGAGAAACAGAATTGATTTTTTATTTTTTACGCATTCTCCTTCTACTTCACAGGACGCGATATGACTGTTCTTTTTTTTCTTTGCTTCACCTCGAAACAGTTAACATGAAACAGAAAGTCTAATGGGATAAGAAATTCTTAATTCTATTTATATTTTTTAAGGGAAATGTAATTTGAATATTCCTTTACACTGTAGAACATGTTGTTAAGCAGGAAAGCTTCCAATTTACTTTCAAATGTATGAATTGTGTTTGTCTTTAATATCATTGCCCAGTTTGTTGTAAAGTGTAATGCCCTCTATTAGGGTACTTTTTTGACAAAGTGTAGTTTCAGAGTGGGGAACATGTAGGTTATCCTTTTGACAGGTGTTGTAGTTGTGTACATCAGAATTTAAAGTAAAAGTTGTGTTTGTTTTCCATGAGAATTTTCTTTGTGAAGACCACTATTTCAAATATATGCATGCATAGTAGAGGAAGAATCCTTAGTTTATTAAACAAGGGTTTGCAAGACTCCAGCTTACGAGTGCTGGTCATTGTTCGCAATATTCTTTTTTGGATAATAAATGTGCGAGTGCTTTCAGGGGCATTTCCCCAGAATATTATTCCATATTTTAGGTGTGAGTGCACATTTGCAAAATACATAGGTCGAAGTGTCTCAATGTTGGAGCTTGACCTGAGGATGTATAGGGCATAGCAAGATTTGCTGAGCTTCTTGTTAAGATTTGAGATGTGAGCATTCTATTTTAGGTTTTCTTGAATTGTTAGTCAGAGGAAGATAGTTTCATGAGATATCGTTACAGGGTTATTGTTTATGAGCAAATGCTGTGAGAGTTTTTCTTTAGATTGGAGAAACAAATGAAAATTAGATGAAATTTAGAGAGACTGTCTTGCTGGTGTTTATTATGAGTTTGTTGTCTCGAAACCATTTAACTAGTGCTTGCAAAGTTTTGTGAGTTTCTTTTTCTAATGATTGTTGTGTTCTTGCTTTGATGATTATGTTTGTGTCATCTTCAAACAAAATTATTTTCTTGTTCCTTAAAGCCAAAGGCATGTCATTTATGTATATAAGGAATAGTATTGGCCGAAGGATAAATCCTTGCGGGACTCCACAATTTATTATTTGAGGGCAGGAGTATTATGAGGAGATTTTGTTTTCTTTAGTGTGCTGGAGGGCAACTATTTGGCTACGGTTTGATAAATATGATGTGATCCATTGGCCTGTAATGCCGGAAATCCCTAGCATTTCTAGTTTTATTAAAAGTATGTGATGGTCAATGATGTCAAAGGCTTTTGACAAATCTAAGAAAAGGCCAATGGGAATTTCCTTCTGATTTAGTGCAACAAGAATGTCATTTAAAAAGGAGAAAATGACTGTGTCTGTGGATCTATTACTCCTGAAGCCATATTGTGTCTTTAAGACGTCCTTTGCTCAGGGCGCCACCTTTCGTTTATCTCTGTAACCATTTTCACCTTAACAACACAGAGCTAGTATTAATTTAATTTTTACTACAAAAAAAGAAGGCCGTTCAGCAGCCGGGAAAATGAAATTATTTTCAAATTCTTGCCCCGAAACGCCAAGGAACATCGCTGCCAGGAATTGTGCAATGACAAGGACACTCGCGTTGCCGAGTTGCTAATCTGGGCGTCTCCTTTGTGGAGCCCAGGCACGGAAGGGAAGGGCCGTGTCGTCTGGGGATCGGTATGCGGGAGGGCAACCAGAGCAGGGCTCCGAGTCAAGGGCCATTTCAGTAAGGCGCCAGCAACCGGGAAGGACCAAGGCCACAGGACGTGATTCGCGTACGTGATTGGCAACAGGGCCACCGCGTTTTCTGCGTGGGAGAGGGCCCGCGAAACCTATAAATACCAAGTACTCAACGTACTCCTCAAAAATATGTTTGTCAATAAATTTGGTACAATATTTGTTCGCCGAGTTTCTTCAAAAGTTCGTGGGCATGCTCGCTTCAGGCCACACTCATACGAGTCGTGCTGCGCCGCCCTGTATGCAACCGCGTCGGAGTTGACGATCCCGCGATAACTGGTCATGGCAAAGAAACATTGTTTACGGGTCCGATTCCTGTTTGTGACCGGCTTCTGACCGCGATCGGGGCACGAGTGGTCGCGATTAAGGCGAATCCGCGCACGACACGTGGCGTCTCCTCGGGGACACTGCTGAAGTCGCGCCGTTCCGCCGCCGGTGAACAACACAGCCGTGCTCACGCGACTTCAGGCGGAGCCCAGCCCGACAAAACGTGCTCCGTGCGGAGGATCAATCGATCCCTTCCCCATCGGCAAGACTTCGTTGCCGACCAGCGGCACTTCTCCATCATGGGAAGGAGCGTGCTAAGATCGCCAAAAGGGAGGAACATTGACTTGTGTGTCAGAAGAGGAGGAATTTAATTTGCAAGGAGAATATTGTGCGAGCCTGGATTCACTGGGTTATATATTTCTACTATCTGATTAAATGAACTATTTATGATTTCTATTATGTTCTGTTTCATTTGTAGTAAGATTAGGAAACCCCAAACATCCATGCGTCGCCTCTCCCTATCAATATTGCAGAGGTCAGAAGAAACGTTTGCCAACTGCGAGCCGGACAAGATCTATAACGGCGAGTTAGGTTAAACCATCTTTAAGCTTCTATTTATATGCACTTCTTACTTTCACATAGCTAAACCCTCTCATTGCCATTCCCACAACTGTGAACAATTCCAAGCTGGATTACACAGCATCGACAGTTTTTAATTAATGTGTGTGTGTGAAAATAGTATCTGCCCAGTTGGGTGGTTGAACCCGTATATGCACATTACCTCCAAAATGGGGCAGTCAAATTCAGAGGGCTTTTTCTTATTAGATGAGTCTTCCATTGTATAATTCAGTTTGTCAATAGACAAACATTCTAAAATGGATCTTAAATAAATTTTGGAATTTCTGAATGCTTGATGTGATTACGCCAAGATCACTAAAACTTCATTCCTACCCGGGGCGTACTCTTGACGTGTTGGTTTGAATCTTCATCTAAAACCATAGTTGTAAAAATCATGTTCATTAAGTGTCGTGAGACGTGTTGCACAAATGCACGAGGAAGTAGTTTACGGCAGCGGGAAGCGGCGCCGGGCTAAACAATGGCAAACCTAGGGAGCGGAAGGGAAAGGGTACCGTGTCGTGGGTGGTCACTCGTGAACTCCTTCTACCACCTGGGGCAAACTTGTGAACCCCGTAGACTTGCTGGCTGTGAGAACGCGTCGGTGGAAACAGCGAGATGACGCAGTTCCGTCATCCGGTCCAGAAAGTAAATATAAGCGGACCCCGGATCCTAAAGTCCTTCTGATTCTTGGGCGCGTCGGTAGAAAGTCGTGTGGGTTGTGCGCGGCGCGGCATTTCAATACATAGGCTACTGAGGCAGGGAACTGCAGCCGGCGAGCTACGTCGAGACGGGAGGTGCGGCATACTCGCTTGTATGCTCATGTTGGGCAACCGGTGCATCACATCGAACAAGACATCAAATTATCAGGCCACCGGTGGCGGTGACCAGGAACATTCCTTCTGGTAACGGGTCAATATTGTTTATTGTAATTATTGTAAATAGTATTGAGGTGTTGGAGCATATTTCAAATAAATACTCAATAAATTACAAACCGTTCACGTCTGTGAATCATTGCCCCGGCAAAGACGCCACAGTCGGTATTATTAGCTCGCTCCACATACATGTCCATTACTTTACAACGCTTTGCCAGATGACATCAAACAATGAAAATCGGTACATAAATTTACGTTAAAGGTTTTTTTTTAATTTGTTGCGTCTACATAGAGGCAACGCATCTCCAAGCCCATTGGGGGCACTTGGCGCTTACAGAAAACCTCCATTAATTTAGTGTGTTTATTATGAGCAATCCTCCAGTACTAATGTCATTTCGTGTAAACGTCTCGTCGTAGTCAGTTGTCAAGAGGACCGCCAGGTGGCATGTCCGTACGCGCCTCCTACATCACTACCCAGCGGGCAGAATTGGGACGGAATAAGGATAGGGCTAAAGTTTAGGACTTTCACAGTGGACTAGACCCCGTGAAGCAGGAAACTCAGTTTGTCGTAACAAATTTCACATGAGGTTCTACGGGAAAGGAGATTCTACGGGAATCGCACCCAGAACCTCAGTGGTGAAAGGCAAGCGACTTCGCCACGAGATCACTACCTGCTGCATAACTCTTTCTATACAATTAGAGACTATACTATCAAAAATAAAAATAATACTTATTTTAACAAAACGAAATACAAGCATTGGTTTATGTTTATACTGTATAATTGTTTCACCTCTTTTCAACCCTAGAACTCATAAAACAAATGTCAAGTCGCTAAAATATAGTGATGTTTTGAGTGTGCAATTTGACTGGAATGACTCCCAAAGTTTTTACTGTTCTTTGACTAAATAAATAAATAAAAAAGTATGCAGATGGTAATTTTCCACCTTATGTCACATAGAGTTTTTACTGTACTTTGATTAAATAAATCAAAAGTAATGTTGGTACTAGATCCTGCAAACAGGTCCAAGAGTGGAGTGCACCAATGTAAAAGTGTTGACTTATAATATTCTCAACACTATATTTTCCACTTATAATATTCAATTTTAGATATGCGTTTTTCTAACTTATAGATTTTGCTCTTCAGTCCCGTGAAAAACATAAGTGAAGTTTTACTGTAATAGGTTACAAATCTTAATTTTATTTTAAAATGCAATTATTACACAAAATTTTATAAAATTCAAAAAAAATATTTTTTTTATTTTCCAGGCACATAAATATTAAATTTATCAGAATTGTCATTTTTGTGCAGGCAGATTTCACTGTATACACCACATTTATAACTGATATCTACTTCTTAATTTCATAATAAAATACAACTGAACATTGTTACAACGTGAAGGCAAAAAATTACAAATATGTGATTAAAATATACTGGTTTCTAATGTAAAAATAATGCATAAAATATTCGTTCTTTGAGAAAAAATAATAAAAAATGTAAGAGAAATTTTTCGTATAAATTAAATCATTAGAAACTAATAAAATATCACCCTTGTCAGTCAGAATAATAAAACAGTCTCCAAATCACAGTTTCAAGGAACACAAAATCAGTCAGGAACACTTCTGACAATACAATTTCTTGCTGAAACAAGTGAACAATTAAAACAGTCATAAAAACAGTATTCATGAAATTAATATAACACATTCACCAAATATACATTGAATTTTAAAGAACATTGAAATTGACTGAAATCTACTACAGTAGACATGCGATTATAGTGAGTAAGGTTGCATCAAAAATGAGAGAGAAGAACAAAGGAAGGAAGGAAAGGAAACAATGTAGTGAGGTGAAATGTAACACAGAATATAAAAATAACAAGAATAATAACAACAACAACAACAACAACAACAATAATAATAATAATAATAATAATAATAATAATAATAATAGTAGTAGTAATAATAATGTTGCATTCTAACTTTTGCAATTTTCAAAAATTCAGAGTTTGATGAAAATGAGTCCTGCATGATTATTTAAGTGGTAATCTGTGGAGCAAAATTAAAGAAAGAATTTAGAGCCGTTTTTGAATTTACGCTCATTTAGAGCGGGCGTCATATGTTACACCTGCACCACAATATTTACACAAACTGTAATAGGTATGGTGAGTATGTTAGTAAAGTAAATCTTACTCAGTGCAGAAATCGTTCAGGGGTTAAGTAATGACTGGGAGAGGCACCAGTAGGTCCCTTAGGGGCCTGTAGGACATCCAAGAGAGGGGGGAGGGGTGCAAATAGATATGACAGCCCTGCCTCAAAAGCAAAGGGGAACTAACGAGTAGAACCAAGTTGACCATTTTGTTGCTCCACTAATATAAATAAGTGCAAATTTTTGTTGCCATTAGTGTGCATGTGCAATAAAAATGTTTGCAATTTAATTTCCTCCTTTTCTTTGAAATTTTTTTTAACTTCTTTACAATGAAGAATAAAATGATTTGCTTAACTTATAATATGAAAATACAATCAAACCTTAATACCTAAGTCCATCAGAAACTAAATAATTTTTTGACTTATCAAAAAAAAATTATTTTAAAATTTAATAACTAGTAGATTTCAATATTTTTCTTTCTTGTGCAAAACGTGACAACTCAACTGAATTTTGTTTGGCAAAATTGTAGAGTACACATGCCATGAAACCAAATTCATTAGTGATAACTTTCTTCTTTTTCACTCCTTTTTCCAATTTACAGATAATTATAAACATTTCACTTAATGTTTTAACGGAGTGCATTAAGAACTGACTCTCATACCCTTAGCAAAAGCAATCGGATACCGAAGGCAATACATTTGGTGGGCCAAGCCACTTTTTGAATTTAGTAGTGGAGTGGCTAAAGCAAATTCACAGATGACAAAGTTCCTATTCATTTGTTTGTCTAGCATTCTGCCTGATGAACAGCAGCTTTTCACCATTTGTCTATTTGCATTTCACACACCTCCCTTCCCTCCCTGTAACAAACCTGTGTGTACACTCAAAAGTAATGATGTCCCTTTGGCCTTGAAGTAGGGATGAATGTTCAATACACTGTTCTGAACATGACACTTTCCTAACGACAGATTGGGACGTCTGACCACAGATTACATCACGGCTTAAAAGGGTCTATCAACTATTGGTATGAAATTACTGTGCCAAAGCATGGCATGAGAAATACTATTATTTTTGAACATACGAGGAGGATATTGGCAGCATTATAAATTGGAACATGCCATTCTAAGTCAAAACTTTGTATCTCAACAGTCATGTTCTTCAGTGCTGGGCAAGGACTACGACCAAGAAAACTTTCATGAGCAATACTGTTTGTCACAAGTGCACAAATTAAAATTTATAATTTAACCAAAAATTGTAAATGGATTTTTTTCCTTTTGTTTTCTTTAATACACCAGTTTAATAAAATCATTCAACATGTTTTCAAATATTAAAAGAGGAACGGAGGGTGACAATCTCATCAAGAATAGTGGTATGACTCTCACTCACTTAAATCTTTACTCCATTACTATTCTAGTATCCATCTAGTTTCAGTACAATAATCTGAATTGTCATGAAGCAAAATGGCACACTGCACATGTGTGTCAAGGTCAGTGATGGAGGAAGGAGAGCACTCTCGGTGCTTTGCGGTCTCCCCCCCCCCCCACCTCTTCTTCTCCCAGCTGATTGCACATATTGACAAAAAAACACCCACACCGATTGAAAATGTTAAAACCTTTTTCTTTAGATGCTTTGGCTCTAAATTTCAGTCTTTGTAAGTGTACTGATTATTTGATATTAATATTGATTACCAAGGAAAATACATTCAATATCGTAATTAAATAATATAAATGTACGCATATAAATATTTATTAAGGATGGTTTGAAGAACACTTATACCACTTTTTTTAAGGAAGAAATTTCCATACTTTTTTTTTATTTCACTTTTGTCTTAAGAAAAATCTTTTTGAAATATTTCATGTTGTATTCCAACATTGTATTATTCACTACCCACAGCTAATACCATTTTCCGTATAAAAGAAATTCCAATCCTTTTCTTTCAGCTTTTCTCTTTTGCCTTTCAAAAAATCTTTTTCACATTGTATTCCAACATTATATTATCCACTTTCAAACATAGAAAAAATAAAAGATAAGATAAAATTACAATTCAAAACCATTTCACTAACTTTAACTTCTGAGAAACAAGGGAAAGATCATTACCTGGTAAATATTACACTTTTCTCCGGGTTCTCAACTGCCTTCCCCCTTGCTTTGGAATAGGACTAACATTCTCCGCAGCAGCTATAAGCAAAGCAACATTTCATTATTACTGATAAGCACATACATATTACTGTAAAGGTATAGTGATATACAATATATGACAATAATTGTCAACGTCATTGGTAAATGAGGAAAAGGTAACCAAAATTTCATGTTTTGCAGGGAAATGCAATGTGAAGTTGCAGGTTTACACAAATGATAGGCACAATCCAACATTTAAGTGAAAGATCAATGCCATTTGTTTTGTTCTTGAAATAATTTGTTTGGCAAGAGTCACTCCGTTCATTTCAAAGGCCTCTTATCTTAATTTATCGTACCATTATTTACACCCAAATGGCTCAAATGTCACAGAAGTTACTCAAATATTTATCACAAGAGATAAATCTTGCAATTCAAAGAATAACAAATGATAAATATTGTAATCCAAAACAAGAGATAATGCAATGAAGTTTATGAGTGAATTAACACAAATTAGTAGCAGTTCATAACTTTTCCTGAGGGGACCAGATAAAAAAAAATAATTAAAAAACACACACACATACACGTGCAAATGCCTGCCCACCTGCAAAACAAAAACACAAGCAAGGCCATTGTCTTGACATCATTTCCGGCATTAAATTTTCATTAATCAATAACAGTCTCACAAAAATTAAAGGCAGGATTTTTATTGAGACATTTAGCTATATATTCATATGTCTTTAACAGAAACATGAATATCTGTCAAAAGATAGAAAATTTGTTTTTCCATGTCATCAACCTGTGCTGATGTAAAGTCACTCGACTGATGCACTCCTGACCATTTATTATATTCTTTTTTCAGGTTCGAGAGAAGAAAATTGAATTCAGCATAAGGAATCTACTTAGTGATTTCACTAATGTGCAGATCTACGATTGCATGCACAAACTGGCCTACTAACAGTAAGGCGCACTGGCAAGAACAACAAGACTGTCATAAATAACCATGAATAGGTGCAGGGAGAACACAGACTGGCACTAACTTTTACAACTATACGGAGTTACCATTTTGGGGACAGGAGTCTCTAGGACAGATGCTAGTACTATTTCTAAAAAAAAAAAAGTATTGTGGAATTATAACACAATCTATTACATTATCTCCAAGTTTCAAAATTAAATGAAGCCAAGTTTAGGCTCGGGTACGAATGAAAAGCTAATCAAATAGCATTTCATCATAATAGTGGTAGCTCTACAAAAAAATTTCATATAGAATTGTTTTATATGAAAAAAATTATATTCTGGCAGAATTGGACTGTAGCTGTGACATGTATTTGAAGCCATCTTCCAATAAAACTTTAAATCCCATACATTACAGTCAATAGAATAGTATTCAGTAACAGTAATCAGGTGCACAAGGTACTTACTTTTCATGTTTTCAAAAAGAGAATCCCTAGAAAACAAAAGAAAATTGTATTATACATTGAACCACAATAAATTTGTATTAATCATTCAATCAACATAACAAAACATACTTAGGATTAATAGAAGAATATACATTTTCATCATCTTTTATCTTTTTGTTTTTCTGAAAAGAAAAAATGAAATTATGAGAACAATATCATAAACAAAACAGTGTAAAGAACAACAACAACAAATGATGAGCTGTTTTCAGGTTTTCTGAATCCTGGAGGAAGAAAAGTAGTTTGCCTATTCATTTTCACAAACTTTCAGCAAATTTTTTGAGTAACAATTGTAATTTCACTGTACCTTCACTTCAGTTTTTGTAGGTTTTTGTGGCTTCCTATTTTGGGGTTTTAAGGGAGTGCGTTCAGAATTATCTTCTTTTTTGACTTTTTCCTCCAATACCTGAACCCAATAAAAATCATCAATGAAGCTCTTAAGGAGAATTATAAAAATCAAGGTAAAACTAATACAAATTATGTTTAGTATGTATGTGTACACAAAAATTACCTTCTCAGAAGTGCTGGCAACATTTGGTTTAACTGTTTTTGGTGATTCTAAATCCTGTAGACAAAAATGCTTTGAATATTCCTATTTCTAAACATGTAAGGTAATTTTTGCAAGTAACAACCTGAATTACACTGTACCTTCACTTCAGTTTTTACCATATTTTGCGTTCTCTTATTTTGAGTTTTTATGGGCATGTATAAAGATTGATCTTTTTCAACTTTTCCCTGCAATTTTTGAACACAATAATAAGCATTAAGAAAGCTTAAAGTAAACATAAATAAGACAAAACTAACACAAACCATTAATTTTAATTATGTATTCAAGTATATTAATGCGTTTGAGAAAATTAGCATTATGTATTCTAGGTTTACCTTCTTAGAAGTAGCTTTTGGTTTAACTATTTTCTGAGATAGCAAATCCTGGAGAGAGAGAGAGAAAATTCTTTAAATAAAAAAAATTTTAGATCATTTAACTTATCAGAAAATAATTACAACCACACTATACCTTTGCTTCAGCATTTGTTGCTTTTTGTTGTACCTTCTGAGATTTTGCAGAAATATCTTCTGATTCCTGCCATTCCTGAAAATAATGCATCATAAAACTCTTTAGATAGATGAAGTAAAATAAAAACAAATTTTAAGAATATGCACATCAATTCTTGGAATAAATGAACTTAAAAAGAGAATGACAAGGTGTTTGCCTAAGTAATATTTTTTTGCAAAATTTGGAACACAACACCTTTCAAGGCAAAGGAATGATATTCGTGTTGTCATCAAGCTATCTTTCAATACACAGGAAAAACAATTGGCAGCATTGTATTTAAAATACTAAACACTGATATAGAGTGGTCGAGATACAACACTGCAGCTCTGGTGACTGTTGGATATAACAATTGTTACAAAACATATCAAAGAATGTTTTCTTTAAATAAAATTTCACTTGTAGGATGAAGAAAGCTTAAAGATGATTTTGAAGGATGCTAAAATTAAGTAATATTTTGAAATAGGAAGTAATGTCACAAAATATAATCAATAAGTCTGTATTTTATTTTTCATGTAGTACATCTAGAATTTAAGGAGTCATACTTGTTTGTTTATATGTTCCAAGCTAATTTGTAGGTAGATACAACATTAAATGAAAACATTTTTAACTTAAAAGGCGAGGGAAGTAATCACTCAAAGCTCTTCCACAAATGTGCTTGTGCACTCAAACCAGTCCATTATCTACATTTATTTACCCATGCAGTTCTTCAACTAGTTTTCATTTTCAATGACTATGTATCAAAAAAAGATACATTGTTCTCAGTTATTTAGGATAATATTTTCAATAATACATTATCAAATAATGATACATATCATTATAAGAAGAAAGATTTCTATGGTGCTAATATTTTTATAAAAAAATAATGGCAAAACCTGTGGAATTGAAAAAAACGTGATGGTTCTTAATACTGAATTGAAAATAACTCATCTTTAGTATTTTACTGTATAATAATTTTCTTATATTAAATTCACAAAATTTTTTAGGGGCCAAAAAAACAACAACCAAGAAACAAAGAATAACAATAAACATCTACATAATGATTAGAAGCAAGAACAAGAGTGTGAACATTATATCTAAATATTTCACAAAAAAGTACCTCAGGTTCTCCTGCCTTTGGAAGTTGAGCCTCTGTAAGGTTTTCTGGACTTTTCACATTCAAAATATCATGTTCTTTTGATATTGTCTCTTCTATTTGTTGCAGCTTATCTTTCATCTCGTGTTCAAATTTCCTAATTGAGCAACAGAGCACAAGCAAGATTACCACAAGGGTTGTCATTTAAGTTTCCAAATCTGAAGTCGAAGAAGAGCAAAAATTTGTGAAGCAAGAAAATATTTGTTATTTTGATAATCGTAACTGCCAAAATTTCATGGCATCATCACATAAAAGATAGGAATATGATACGTTCCTAAATCAGAGTTTCTGGAATATCGAAATATCAAAGCTGGATAAAACTATAAGGATTTTTCCATACAACAATATACCTTTGAAATTCCAGTCATGTTAAGGGTGTAGGCCAAGAAGGCCAGTGGTCTGCAAATGGTCATTTTGAAATTGATCTGCTTCAGAAATTCAGAGCAGTCGATTCGAACGTGATATCTGCCATCCCATCATGTCTGCCTTCCCAGGAAAGTGGAAGACAGTTGACAGATTGGACTATGAGGATTTTGCTCTACCACAATGCCCTTGTTCAAACTATATTGAAAACAAGGTTCTTGTTTAGGGAATCGTGGGTCCAGTTAGTGAGTCTCCCCTTCAATGTTTGAAAATTAAGGAAAGTTAAGGAAGCCCAAAAGAAACTGCCACATCCTACAAAGAGGCCACTCCTAGAAAGCAGGGCGCAGAATATAATCTATTGAAAAAAAAAAAAAAAAGTGCTGAAACTCAGAGGTCACATCTATAACGAGTCCAAGCATTTGATTGCAGTACAGCGCTAATGGACAACAGCATTGCTACTTCTCAGCAGCGCCTACACATAGCACTCCCCGTAATCACCCCCCCCCCACACTCCCCTCGCATGAAGCGAAATGAGGCCTTATTGAGAATAAAACGTGCGGGGATACTTGGATTGACATGAAATTTTGCCAGCTTCTTCAGCACCTTTCAAATTCCATACATATTGATTTTTATGTGCTAAGAATCAATGCAAGTAGTGGTTTTAAGCCAATTAGTACTCAGATCTTTCGTGACCTTATGCCTGTCGTGGTGCGGAAATCGCCGCGCGTCGCCTCTATCTGTCATCAGGGTATACGTACGTTGCCTCAGAGGGCATGCATGCATGCATGCATAAAAACGGGCGTTTACATAGCAGGCTTGGAAAGACGAGAAGGTCGAACACATGCGTGAATAATTCACATACAATTACTGTAAAGGTATGAGTCCATGAGAATGTTATCTCGATATGGGACAATAAATAAATACATTTCACTTTTGCTTCGAAACAAAATTTTCGAAATAATGAGTTCTAATAAGAGAAGTGTCACAAGTGGAACAATCAAGTGCATCGTTCGCAAGTATATTTTTAACTTTTCTTAAAAATAGCCTTGGCTTACGATATCCTTACAACCGACTTCGATAGAACTACTAAGAATGCGTGTTATTGTGCCTTTGAAACTAAAAACAGACCAACGGATATGACCTTCGCCATCACACATAAATGAATGAACGAACACTCTAGAAATAGTGTGTGGGTTTTGCATGTTGTTGAACACCACGGAGAGAAATGTTTAGTTCAAGCAATTAATCCTGTAGTAGACTCAACCAAACCGATAGTACGTTTTGGAAGAACAAAGTGCTTAGTCACGTTCACGTAACTGCTGTTTAGTTAACACACACTAATGCTCGTTACGTACCCCTGCCGAATGGCATCTTGTGGAGATAACTAAACGAATCGTTGCATTGAATAATACATTGAGTAATATTTGCTGAACGCATTAAAGAACAAATAACTAAACGAAACGTGAAAGGGAATAGATTATTTATATTCCTTCAGGCAGGTACCAACTGGGGATCTGGAGCGGTCACCGATCCGGCGGCTCCGTGGACACGTACATAGTTCCTTTACCTCGATTATCTGATAGACCCTAGCCAAGCAGAACAGTTACGAAGGCAGGCCGCCATTGGGCTACCGACGGATTTCTACCATTAGTTTATTAGTTTAGAATATTACATACTAATTATTTCAAACCAATGAAATACCAAACACGCCATCACCTGCCGGAATTCGCTGCCGGCGCCCGTCCCGCCGAACTGGACGGTTCCGAGTTATTCGCGATTCGCGTAAAAGTGTGACGCAAGTTCCGGATGGGTCGAAGTGGGCGCCGGCCAGGTATAAATTCGCCGCTGCCGGCGGCCGCTGGCAGTAAGCAGTCAGTCCCTCAGTGTGAGTATGCGGTCTCTCTGAAATCTGAAGTGGAAGCTGAGCAGTGAAGTGTGCATTGCGGCGAACAGTAGGTGAACAGCAGTGAAGAGGACCAGCAGCGTGATCTGTGGTCAGCGCAGTGGACCATGGACAGATCATCGGACAGTGGTAGGTGCATCGGACATTGCGATAGTGTACAAGACGTGAACAGTGTAAATAAATAATCAAGAGAAGTGAGTGGTGTGTAAGGAAATAACCAAATGAACGCAAGGACTGTGCAACCTATCTGTAAATAAATAAAGTATTTTTAGTGTATCATTAAGAAACAAAATAAACGTAGTTGTTAAAATATTACCTGTGTTTTAATTCACCACTTAGAAATGTTACAATACGGCGTGAATTGTTTCGCGCGAATGACAACATCGTTATCAAGATCAATATTTCTAATTTTCTGTCTCAAGTAATTTTACAGGTTCAATTTTACCACTTTTTAATATAAAATAATGGGAAAATTCCCATTTACAAGGGTGAGAGGACTTGAAAGGCATCAGATACTACTCCAAGGCCTTTTTGCGGACAATACATAATATTCTTTTCCAACATCCGTCACATCTTTACACTTGAAAGTGCATTTAAAGAGAATTTCTGGTTGTTAACTGTAAAATTTTAAATTCATTTTTAGATGTGTTTATATGTATTCCACTACTTTCAATAAGTGAAATTCAAAAATAAATACTATTTTTCCTTCCACGTCGCCAGATGAGAGTCGCCGAAAAATATTCAACATCACTGAACGATACGAGACGCTCGTTCTGAGCGCATTAAATAGTTTTTTTGTTGTTATTTTTTACATACTAACTCAAGAACCATGATTCACACAGAAATGTGGTTGGTCTCATTTGAAAATTTGGACTTCCCGTGACATTTCATCCGCTGGATGTTTGTGTCTTTCTTCAATAATAAAAAAGTTTCTTGCATAGTGAAAATTTAAGCTCGTCAAAATGTAGAAGTAAACTCTTTGTCTATCATTTATAATAAATTTCTTCAAACTTAAACCATCAAACTCAATTACAAAATAACCCTCACAGTCATAAAGAGTTCTGGGAATCGCTGGTTAAAAACTAAATTTTCTAAGATCGTCACAATTGAATCTATCGTTGAGTAAACATGTTAAATATTTGCGCGTGAAACAGTATGAACGAGCCGAATAACACCAAGCCTCGTGAATTGGCAACATAGCTTGCTGTAAAAAGAGATGGCAATACTCTCTTGCAGTACAGACATACAGCTTTCAAATGGAGTACTGCAATCAAATGTACGGATGCACAATAGAAAGGTTTATAGATATGGATTTATTTAGTCAAAAAAGCAGTAAAAACTTGCAAATGACATATGGTGTGAAGATTTTCGGCGCACGTTTTCTCGAGTTCCAGAATACCTTCCCCTCATTTTAACTATAAATAGTTGAAAGAAGAGTAGAAGTTTAAAATAAATAAATTTGAATTTTGAAAAAGCGCGACATTAGCAATATTTGAAAAAAAATAGACATTTTCGTTCCCGAGAAAACTTATTTGCATCGGTAAACGAATTGCAGGTATGATTTTTCTGCATTGCTAACAAAAGAAATACTTGCCCTTACCTCTACTCCTACCATTATAAGCAAAAGTGAAGCTACATTTACATCTCAGCGTTTGCTCAATGGATCAGGGAAACTGGAATAAACCTGATTGAGATGGAGGTAATAGACCGGATACATTATTTGTTACAAACCCATTAGGTCTTATTAAAAAAACAAACAATACAAATGTAAACTAATGTATATTAGTTTTTTTTAGTAAGTTTGTTAAAATAAACATTGCTTTTCTTTTTGATAATTAGTATATTCTCTAATTGTAAAGAAACAGTAATGCAGCAGAAAAAATTTTACTTTTAACTTAAATTTGTGAACCAACTTCAATTGTTTAATGTCATCTGGCAATGTCTTGTAACGTAACGTACATGTATTGTGTGTGGATTTCTGATAGTGAGCTGTTGATACTGACTCTTGAACGGATTTCTAAGACATGTGTTGAAATTTTAAAAATCAGTATTGCATGAATATATGTTCCCACCATTAAGTAAATCAGTTTGGCAAATATTACAGATTCGTAAATAAGTAGGCAAGGATTCCAAGCTCATTGAAGAGAGGCTTGCAGAGATCACACAGAAGGCATTTTTACATTATTCGAATAATTTTCTTTCGTAATTTAAAGGTCTGAGTACTAAATGATGAGTTTCCCCAGAATATTTTGCTATATCTCAGGTGGGAATGTACATTTGCTAAATACACGCAATGAGCTGCATGAAGGTTGACAGAATTTGAAAGAGTTCTGAATGCGTAACATAATGAACTTGATTTAGTGTTTAATTTTGTTGCATGTACATTCCATTTGAGGTTTGACTTGAGAGACCTTGAAATTTTGTTACTTCAACATCAGCTAATTTCATATTATTCATTTTCAATGGAGCATGCGATTGCTGGTTTGAAATGCAAAAATGCATTGAAACTGTTTCTCCTTCGTTTACTATTAATTTGTTATTACAAACCAATTTGAAACTTTTGAAATCATACTATTTATTGTTTCTTTTTTGCAAAGAACATTTGTGTCATCAGCAAATAGACCTGTTCTTCCGTTTTTAATAGACAAGGGCATATCGTTTACATATCACAGAAAGAGAATAGGACCTAAGATCGAACCTCGCGGGACCCCATATTCAAATCGTAAAGAATTGGAAAGATAAGTAAATAATGTCCTTTCATGCCAGAACGGTATTTCTTTGAGGTCGATATTTAATGTATGATTTTATCCAATCTAGAGGGATACCACAAATTAATAAGGTAATTTTGATAGCAAGATGTAATAGTCAATAAAGTCAAATGCTTTCGAAAGATCTAAAAATATTCCAATGGGTGCTTCATTTTGATCCATTGATGAAGCAACATCTTTAAGAAAAGAAATGGAAACACTCAATATTTAAAACTATAACACGATAGGAACATTGTTTAACAAATAGAATTAAGTTCACACAACCATGGAGGTCATTTTAACATCCTCAAAACCAAGAGTTAAGAATTTTTTCTTCAATTTTCAAAAATGTGCTCGTAATATTTTATACCACAACCTAACATTATGAAAACATTCAGGTATCAAAGGACACAATGGAAGGGCTCAGTAGAACAAAGACCTACCCCACATTTTTTGTGAAATGACTTATTAGCATTATATAAAATTTCAAACGTTGCTGTTTTGGTGTAATATGTTCCTTAAATCCTGTGTAGGCTTATATCCAAGAGTACTGTGTTTAAAATTTTAAAAATGTACCGAGTTATACGAGTGAAGTTCAGGTAAAACCCTCATTATCTTAGAACTATGACAATGTAGGATAGCCCCTGGTTCTACAAAGCCCTTCAATTAAATGTGGATATATATTCACAAATACACATGTATATCGATATTCATGTACAAGTGCATAAACCCACGAATTCTGAACAATAAGTCTACTTACATTTGCAGATTTCTTTGTAGCTCAGAGAAAGTTTTGAGAATATCCTTACACTCTTGTAATTCTATGACCTCTCTGGTAACTGATCCCATTGAAGGCATGATTTTGATCTCAGTAGTTTCTATAAAATACAGTAATAAATAATATTACTACTACTACTAATAATTTGTGAATCAAGCCATCCACAAACTATACACTTCATCTAATGGTTCTTCCATTAATCTGTTTCTTACCCAAAGATTTCAAATTTTCAAGTTCTTTTTGCAGTTGGGCAACAGTCAGCTTCTCTTCCTAAAAAGTAAGTAAACAAATAAACAATCTGAAAACCACTTGGAAAGCAACACATGTGACCATGTAATAGAGGTGAATCTTTCCCAATAATATTGAAAATATAAAGAAATCGATTATATTCCAACACAACAACTTTCTGCTCAAAACAAGAAAACAAATCAGCGAGACTAACAATTTTACAATGCACAAGTAGTTCATAATGACAGTGATTTCTCATAGCAACTATTTTTAATTAGGATAAAAGTCTTGTGAGATGTAGACAGTCTGTTTCTTTATAATGAATTTCTAAGAACTTAAATTTTTTAAACAACACTTTACTTAACAATATTATCTAAAATTAGTTTATAAGTATCAAAGCACAGCAAAACTGACCTCTAATTTCTTTTCACAATTTTGATGAATTTCAAGTTGAGTCTGGAGATTCTTGATTTCACTGAGATGTTCTTCACATCTGCATACCATTTCTTTGCCTTTCGTTTCAAGGTAAGTTATCTTCGATTCACAATCCTAACAAAGTGCCAAAACACTTGTAAGAAAATAATATTTATCTCCCAAAACTTCACACAGACAAAACACTGCAAAAGTGAAAATTACAGAAACAAAGGAAATAATCCTTCAACACCTTTAACAAATTAATACCAAAACAACCTATTTACTCGTTTATTTCTTCATGAAATACTCTGTTGTTTGTTAGATTATTTGTTTATTTATTTATCCTGATCTCCCTCTACATTTAATTCAAAACAACTCATTATTTTACAATCATCAACATGTGTATAAAATTAATCATAACATTCACCTTAATTGTCTGTTCATATTTCTGAAGCTGGTCTGTACAACTTTTAATGTGGGTTTCAAATGCTTTTATATTAGAATTTTTTCTTTCCTTCTCTTCTTTAAGTTTTGATTTTAAATCTTCATTTTCCAGACTTAATAATTTTATATCACTCTCCAATTGTAATATTTTAAGACCATCTTCATTGTTGGCGACATTACTTCTCTTTTCAAAAGACTTTTCTGAGAGACATACACTTGTACTGGTTTCAAGCTGAGAAAACTTGATCTCATATGCCTAGTATATTCACAGAGTATTAAAACACACATGATTACTTACACTCAAACAATCTACTTTCACAAATGTATCTTACAAGGTTTCTTCATTGAATATATTTATTTTAATAATTCTGTCTTTTAAATGTATGTGGTATGGAGATATTTTAAATGGATTAATTAAAACACACGTAATTCAGTAAAGGCAAGAATCACTTAGAACGAGCAAATATAAAAAAACACCAAATCACCTCTATTTTTTCTTCATACTTCTTAATCTGGTCTGCACAACTTGCAACTACAGCCTCCAGAGATAATTCTTTAGAATTTTTAACTATTTTCTGTTCGTTCAGCTGAGACATCAGATCATCATTCTCTTTTCTCAGTACAGCCACATCCTTCTCTAATTGAACAACTCTAAATTTACTCTCATCTCGAGCCTAGACATATATCACAAATCCAAAAGTAGGCTTGAAATTACAACATTATCAAAAACACAATTATTTCTCATATTCACAAGAAAATTAATTTGCAATTCACAAGATAACAGAAGTTTAAAGAAAATGAAGTCCATTATTTACAAAAACTTGCACTTACCTCGCAAACAATCTGATGCTTTTCTATTTGTCGAGACAATTCATCAGAACGAAGTTTTAGTTCTTTAGCTAAACTGTCAATCTTCAAATTCTATAAAATTACAAAAAGCATGACACAAAAATGAATTCTTAGCATTACCACCAATAATTATGCACATTCACTTCACAAAATAACACATTCAATCAAAAGTTGGAAAACCACACAGTAATCTGCATACAATCCTAGTAGATTAAGGTGTCTTGACAAACAGAATGTCCAGTAAAATTTTCACTTTGCTGCCTCAGATACTAACCAAGCTCAATTTGTCTGTTACTTGAGGTGTTTGTAATGATTTACCTCAATTTTTAAGCATGCACGTGAGAACGAGGAGGAGAGAGATGGATTGATTAGTGTATCATAGTTGTTCATGTAAGAACGATGTGAATAAAGAAAGACGTTTAAAACTGATTTATGTGTTGTTTCTGTAAAGTTAAATAAGGCGCAGTAGTAGTCAGTGGAAAAAAAGGAAGAGAAGAGTGAAGACGCAAAAGATAAATAAACGTAAAAATCAAAAGTTAACCTAGAAGCAAGTCAAAAATGATGCAATACGACCTGTAAAGTTACCACCTGACCTAAATCTACAAGGCTCAAATTGTGTGAATGAATTGACAATATGCAAAAGAGCATTAGAACACTATATGTTAGCAACAGGTCATCATGAAGCTGCGAATTCAATAAAGCTAGCGTTACTAAAAAATCTCATGGGTACAGAAGCTTGTGAAATTCTAACGACCATACCAGAAAGTAAAGTGTATAACATGGTGATTCAGAAGATAGAGAACTATGTGAAGCGCTGACAAAATGACACATAACAGTGTTTTGTGTTAACAGAAAGGAAACAAGGAGAATATTTTGATGATTATCTGAGTGAACTCAGAAGGTCGGCAGAGACCTTGACTATAATATAATACCTACATGGTACATACAACATGAAGACAGAACGATCAGAGATAAGATAGTACATGGGAGTAATGAGTTGTACATGAAAAGGACTACTGAAAATAAATGATTGAACGCTAGTTAAAGAAGCAGATCACTGTAGGGCCATGGAGCTAAGTAAACAATATGTGCAACAAATGGATCAAAAGGAAAATAAGAATGACACAAAACATAGCAGAAGTAGATGCAATAACAATGAACAAAGGATGGAGAACAAGAAACAACCAGGAACTGACAGACAACAAATAAACAAATGAGAAGCAGAAGAAATTTTTTGTAAAAAAAATAAGCTAATATAAGCTCAAAACGTTTTCAACGATTGAGGCTCAAATTATTACCTTACAATCTTAACTTACAATATGTTTCTGGAAAATATTTAGATTTATCAGATATATTATCTAGATCAAAAATGAGTATTATAGAAAATGATATGGAAATGCTAGAGACGGTACATTTGATAACACAGCACTTGCCAGTGGCAAAATGTAAGATTGAACAATTTAAAAAAGGTACAGCTACATATAAACAGTTGCAATTACTCTCCGAGGGTTGCCATACATTTAAGAAGGTAGAGATAAGTGGTAAAGTATACTTCAATATGAAAGAAGACATGTAGATGATGGAATTGTGTTTGTAGGTGAGAAAATCATTGTTCCACATACACTAAATTTTAGCCAAAATAAGATATACTACAAACTATTCATAAAGGGCATTCTGGAAACAAATAATCCATTCAGAAAGCTAGGCAGTTATTCTATTGGAAAACTATGCCAATAGATATCACTAATTTTATAAGGAAATGTAGAACATGTGAGAAATTTCAAAGTAATGACAGAAAGCAACTAATACATTTACACAAGTGCCAAAACAAAGATATACTAAGATTGGAATGGATATTGCTGTTTATACAGGCAAATCATACCTTGTAATAGTTGATTACTTTTCCCAATGGATTGATGCAATTTTGTTAGAAAATATGAGTGCAATAGCAGGAGTAAAAAAAAAACCTTCATTATACTGGATACCCAGTAGAAATTATAGCTGACAATATTCCTTTTAACTCACTAAAATGTAAGAAATATTTTAGAGCAAAAGATATAAAATTGACTAATATTCTTAAAATCCCTAATATACTTTCATCTTAAAGCAACGGTAGGGCAGAAAATACAGTAAAATTAATCAAACAAGTTCTTAGAAAATGTACATAGTCACAAGAGGACATAAATAAGGCAATAATGGAGATATAACCAAACATCTCTGATGATTCTGGGCAAGTCACCATTTCAAAAACTACTTAAATAGCAATCTAGAGAAACAAACTTTATTGCAGTCTCAATGCACTCTATTGCACATCAATATTATTTCAATAAATATTTATAATAGAAAAATTGTTTCCTCGTCATTATTATAATTTAAAAATTACAAATAAAATATTAATAAAAATAAACTTTCATCTTATTTTCTATTTTAATGTAAATATCAATGAAAATACAATATGTAGAATGCAAGGAGAGGTATACCATACAATAAACATTTATGTTCTTTAAAAGTTTTAAGTGCTTTCATTCAATTAACGTTTCAATAGAATCAAATAAAAAAAAGGTAAAATAATTTCTATATGATTCAACTATACTTACTCTACTATCTAGCTTTTTTTCTAATTCTTCTATTTTCATTTTGTACCATTGTTCAGATTTTGATGTATCCATGTCCTAAAACATAATATCAGAACTCCTAATTCATAGACACCCTAAGACAGTGTTATAATACAATAGCCTTGCCTAGCCAATGCTACTCTCTTCCCAAATATTTCTTCTTGATAAGTACTATCTTTTCATACCTTTAATATATTAAGACAGAAAAAAAGAATATGAAAAAAAAAATTATGCATAAAATGCAAATGATAATAATAATTTAGTTGAAGTGATAAAACATTCAAAAACACTGCGAATTAAATGTAAAATACATAAATAAAAATATGATTAACAATACACTGACATCAGAGCTGTATCTACAGCATTGTAGACATGGTATGAGCCATGGGCACCACTCACAAGGGTGCTATTAAGAGTATACCCGCTAAAACATACAACAAAAATTGTAATTTGAAGTATCCAGACAGGGGTACAACTTCTATGCTTGTCTTTGGCGTCTGAATACCTAGATACACCTCTGAATAACACATAATTTAAAACACTTCATATAACCAATGCAGGTAAGAATTATTTACATCAAAGATTATAAATTGTGTTCAGAAGCATTTGGTTTGAAATAAATTATTTTCTTAACACGACAGAAAATGTACATTAAAATTTTGGGGCCGTTTCTTTCAATAGAAATCTAACAGTTGACAATTAGGTCCTTCTGCATTAAGAAATGACAAGAGAAAATCAACAAATTACAGTGTATCTTAAAGGAAAATAACCTTGATTTTCCGAACATGTGCTTTATTAAGTTGTTTCAATCATTACCGAGGAATAAAAACACAACTTATAAACAATTCACATAACTATGTTTCGTAAGATGCAGAAAGGAACAAGATTTCATTCATTGAAGTTATATTAAAAGCGACCGTTACAACATTTTTTTTAGAAATTGTGACAAAATTATTTACTACACTTTTCTTCAATTTGTGACTGCCTCTCACCTTATTAATCCTCTTGTTTCTGGAGATACTTTTCTCTGGAACCCACAAAATTGAATATTTAGGGTTCTTTCGCAGCACACTGTATGTTGATGCCGTGCGAGTGTTGCATTCCGCTGTCACCGGTTGGATCACCGATTGGTTCAAATTAACCGGCAGGGCTATACCACAGAGTATTCATTCATTGCTATGCTAGGATTTATCCAATGATGCACTTGACGTAAATCACATGTTCCTGGTTTCACCCAACCTACAGCTTGAAGCTCCCCAAAGTGACGTCACTGTAGCGCTATACAAGCTCTCGATTGGATGAAACAACAACAGTTGACTTTCGTTCACAGACGTGGAACTGGGCGGCCAAAACCATTGCCGGTTCACTGCTGATTCACTGAATGTTAAAGGCGGGGGAATAAGTGTATTTCCTCAGTCACGGGCCTGGTGCAGGTAGCGCAGCTGTTGTGCGAAATGAGCTGGTTGTGGTGAGTGTAGGGAATATTCATGAGTATTATCAGTTTTTCTTATGATTTACTACAAAGAATTAATTGTATTATTTGCAGAAGATGGGTAAATGTTCCATAAAACTTCTTGGAAGGTGCCCTTTCATAAGCTCCCCAAAAATCAACAGATGCGTGAGCGATGGTTGAAAACATAAATCGCCAACATTTAATTGGTAAATGATGTATTAAATATTATAAAAGTTAATAAAATTGTATGTACTAAGATAAAATTAATCAAATATGCACACTGATATGCATTTTGAAACAATTGGTGAGACAGAACCTCACTTCTATAGAAGAGATATTTTTATAGTATAAAATTTACAATCTGCCCAAGAAATGGGAATCTGTAGTCCATTAAATAATTTCTTGGATTCATATAACAATTTTTAATGAATATTTAACGTGACCACATAGATAAAAATGGTAAAAAATTGTATGAATATCTCATTATTGCGTAAATTCATATTAGTAATTGGAAACGAAAATAAAAAATTGGTCCAGTTTTGTAACTGTGGGAATGTTGATACCTGTTCAATTATTTGATGTCAATTGGTTTAAATAAATTCTTCACTTATCTTACATCCTGACCTTGGAACACCATCATTTTGGATTTCTTCGTGACTTATATCGTCAGAGAAACAACGAAAAAGACAACAAAACAACAAAGAAAGTTGAATAGACTAGAAAGAGCTGGAATTTATTAAAAGACAAGGAAGTTTTCTAAAGGCTCCCTCGAAACACAAACCATTTGGACAGAGTGATAAAGGAAACATATGGTAATGCAGGAAACTTCTAGAATATTAATATTATTCTTGTATACTCAACGATACTTGTCAGCTCAAACAGCAACATGCCTCTTATCCTGCTGTAGATGATTATGATGAATTTCAAAGCTAATTTTGTTTTTTTTTAAATATTAATTTATAGACATGTTCATAAACAAAATGGTGTATTGTTGTGTGTATATGTAGTGTAGTTATAATATGTAATAGTATGTTGAAATTTATTATACAAAACTAACAGAAGAATTATATTCATGATGAACACATAACCCGAACTGCAAATTAGTTCTCTCGATGTTTAGTGAATGAGTTTTTATTCATTTATGAAATGATTTTAATTTAATTCATGGAAAATAAGACTTTAAAAATTAGAAATATGTACATATTGTCTTACAATGAATGTCTTGAAACACATTCTATTAAACATTGACTTAAGACAATGTTAATTGATTAAATTTTCTCCTCTCTCTCTCTCTATATATATATATATATATATTATTATATATATATATACTATATATATATAATCTATATATATATATATAAGCTACAAGAACGTTTCTGTAATTAGAACAATTACGAAATGATCATCCATTATAAATTAAAAATAAAGTACTGAAGTTGAGTCAGTCGCGGTAACGCCGTCGCCGCCACCACGGTCAGAAAACGAAGGGGAAAACGGCGAGGCGAGCGACGTTAGTGTGCGCGGAGGGCCTTCGTGGTGGTAGAGCACGGACGGCAGTGGCTAGCGTCCCAACGCGATTTATTGTCGTGTGAAGTGCAATCGGATTTGAGTGCTAGCCGTTGATGGTGGAGCCCAGGTTTGATAATTGATTAAATAATCAGCATGATTATGAAGACAGAATTGCGCACATCAGCAACTGATATGAAAACCAATAAGACAGGAATCGTCTGGCGTGGGGCTCGTGTCATAATCCCGCCTGGTATACATATAACAGTGGGGCATGTACTGACGGACATCCGCGCAAAGTTGAGAAAGGTCGCTGAAAAGACTAGAACAGCCGACGAACATCAATCAGGCGTCGTGCGTTCCCATACCCGTGAGACATTGTTCACACCGGCTGGGGTGGACCCTGGCGAATTTCATCTGCCGTTACGTTGGGCCAGAGGAATTGGTCGCCGAGGGAGGGCGAATTCTCGGCGGACTTCGGGGCGAACCGAAGATTGCCGAAGATACCGCCGCCGTTGCCACGACGGCCCCGGTCGCCTCCAGAGGAAGCAGGTGGTTTTTAAAACATCGAGGTAGCGTTGACCGTGCACTTGTTTCCAAGGCCTGCGCATTGCGATTTGTAAATACTATTTGTAAAGTGTGTTCTCTGATCATTAAAATATTTAGATGTGCAAAAGAATCTATAACGATTATCTTCCTATGCTGCGCCAAATTCCTGGAGACAAATTCACGAAAATGTACCTGTCCGTGGATTATCTATTTGTCGTGAAAGTACCGCTTCCCAGGTACGTCACAATATATATATATATATACACAATTTGCTGGCTCCTGGACAATTAATATATTGTCGGAATGCAAATTTACAAGTCTAAAAAGTATTTTTGGATAAATTAATATAAAGTAGATTCTGTTAAATCTATTCCACATTTTTTCCTACATAGAGCATAACATTTCTTCTTTTAGCACATAATATGGAGTTTTCATGTACATCCAAGCTGCAGGTCACCAATATTTCACTGATCAAAAGAATAGAAGAAATATGCCTTGACAATGTAAATAAAGTTATAGTGTCACTTGTATACACATAATGTGTACCAAAATGAAGGCGTTTGTGTTTCGTATAAAAAGTCTCAACTGTGTGTCTTGTGAACTATATACATTGCTCTCTGTATAGAAGTTTGGGATTGTTACTAGGAAATGTATACTATTTTCTAAACATATTTCTTCACAACTGCTAAATGACGATTCTAAGATTTCTTTTACGAATGATATAATTTTAATAGTTAAACTTTCTCAAAGAATTGGTTTCCCCGGCTGGGATTCGAACCCGGGCCTTCTAGTTTACGCCCAGATGCTATAACCACTTAGCTTCCGAGACAACGAATCTTTCGAGCAGTTTTCATGTGCACGATTATTGCTCCTTATATGTATATATAACTGTCACCATTCTGTTCGTGTCCAACAAGGTGATGGGAAGGGTGAAAATTATATATAGATATAATTTTAAGTAGGTTTTTGTATGTTTCATTCGATTACATTTTGGATTGTTTAGCTGCAGTAAAATTATGAGTAATATTAGTGTGGCACATGATGATTGGCCAGAATGTATCGCTTTATTTTACATAACGCGATTTTTCTTCATGCATATTGTTTTTTTGAATACGATGTATATTTATCTATTTTACAAATAAAAATTGTTTATTTGAAATATCTTTTTTATTTTCACTTGCATCATTACAATTTTTTAACTACGTCACAATTATAAATCCTTTCAGAATTACTGACTTCTACATTACCTTACACATTAATTTCACGTAAAATAGATTGTTCTTTAACTGTCTTCCATATTGAAAAATTGCTAGATAATGTAATTTCAAATGTCCCGGGTGACGTCTGCCCTCCATTTCGACTGGTAGATCGAATTTCGACGCATATTGGCTGGTGAGGGGCAGAAATGGATCCTTCTGTCGGAGTGAAGGGTCGACCTTCTCCCTTCCGTAAAAATAAGGAGCTTCGAAATAACACAACACAACAGCTTTTGCGTGGATTCGTACTCGATTTAAAATAGTTTCGTTTTGTTGGTAAAAGCCGTTGCCAATATTCACGCAATTACCCTATGTCTATTACGTTTACGTGGTAGGGACATTTTTTAAATTTAAGTTTGCAATGAAAAAATGACCACTTCCGTAGATTTCGACAACATTCAAGCCATTCACGTTAAAGAATTCAAAGTTTTCTTTAAAAGGGAATTGTAAATTTATTTTGTAGATTGTGGAAGGGATCCAGTGTTGTTACTCATAGAAACAAGTATTGTTACATGTACTTGTTTGACAATACAAATATGAAAATTATTACAGGTTTTATTATTTTTTTTTATTTCTAAATATTATCTTATAAAACTGACAGGTGTGATTTTCATAATTTTAATAGCTATTGTCTATATCTATTATCGTTAGTTATGCATTAACAATATTAAATTTTTGTTCAACATTCTCTGTGTTAACAGGTGGGTGTGAAGTCTACCGAAGCAATTTAAAAAATCAAGAAGCCCTGACCACACCCAAAAAGACCCCTAGAATGACGTGTCCACGTATTAAATTGACAATTTTACAAAGAATATATGGAATGGTACAATGGAATTCCGAATAAAATATATTGTAGTTTGAGAGCAGAATCATTTAGAATTTTTAATTTATTATTTTAGAACTTTATTAATATATACAATGATAAATTTGTTTATTTAGTATTTTATATTAAGTAGTTAAGTTATGTTATATTTTATGTAAGCCTTGATTGACGAGATGGCAGGTGATGATACGAGTAGATTGAATTTTCAAGGCTCTCATTGTCAGACCTCCTTGAAGCATATAGTAAAGAACATTGGTTTTATTTAGGGGAAGAAAGACAGATACGCTCATATGAATGACTGAAAAAAATTTTAAAGGGGAGTACTTTCTAAGGAAGTATATTAGGAACCCAAACAAATCATAGCACACCAATTATTATAGATTTTCAATGAAACGTGGCTATATTTATGAATAGTAATTTCTTAAACTTTTTTCTGAAACATTTTTATTATTTCAGTTTTAGTAGCTTGTTTGTTACAGTTTTTTGGTAACATTACTTGTAACTTGGGTTCGGGCAAGTGGCACAACATTTCTTTCCCCAAAACCCACTTGC